TATGGTCATTTTACCAACCTACGTTAATTAAAATTTATCCATAATTAATTCGCGTTATTTAATCGAATTCATTTCTTTTTATTTACAAAATTGGAAGAATTAAAATTGTATAAATTAATTAGAGTCACACAATGATTATATAAAAAATATTACACGTACATTTGTTAAACCTCCTCGTCCCGCCGGCTCGTAAGTATAATTAATGTAAGGATCGTTAGGATAAAAATTGATATTCGATGGCATTTTGTTTCCATGTCTAAATATCGTCTGTACAAGTTTCAATTCTGCCAAAGATGCTCGACAACAAAGGAGACAAATGATGAATCTTAAAGTCCATGTGGTATTCATCATTCTAAAAGTAAATATAATTTAATAAATAAATTTATGTATAGCTTTCAATTTCACTCGATGTTTTATATATCATATCATGTATATTAAACTAGAAAAGATTTCATATAATATTTTGTTTCTATTTTTATAAATAAATATAAAATAAAAATAAATCTTGTTACTTTTATGATATCGATAATTATATTACAAAATCTTACCGTGTGTTGAGCGTACTTTTATTTCGAGCAACGTTCATATGTTTATAGTAGATAAAACTATGAAGAATTAGTATTTTAAAATATAAAAAAAATCTAATGTCAACGCAGTTTTATATGGGGGGACAACGAGTTTATCTAACGATAGGCTATCGAAAAATGTCACAACGATCGAATACTTTGTTTCATTTTTTTTACTAATACAAAATAATCTAAAAAACGAAATTTGAAAATGGAAAATTGAAATAAAATTCGAAAACGAATCAACAAATACTATTGTAACATTCTGTTATTTCGTAAATATTCTTCTCTTATATATATTATTTGTTACATATATACACGTTGAACTTATGTTTTATGTATGACACGTGTTAACTTGATAATTATTTTACAAATATTGATATTCAGAAATGTGAATATTATTATAATTTCAATAATATTTGAATAATGATTTTAGAAAATATATTATACTTTATACATGACAATACTCTAGAAACGAATTTTATCAATCGATTTTTTATAAGCTTCATTATTGTTTTATTCTATTATATAACGAAAAATATTGATTCTATATTTTTAGAAAAAGATGCATTATTATCTATAAACAATGTCATTCACTTATAATTTATTAATGTTCAAATTCTTAAAGTATTTCCATTATTCTTAAAAATATTGAATTTTTCAGAGATAAATTATTGATGAAATATGGTATGTATCGAAAAAATTATTAATTCTCTTAACTAATTAGTATTATAGTTTATCTGTATACAAATAAAAGATATTACATTACATTATGGATAATTGTTAAAAAAAATCGTAGGATTACTTACGCGTATTTCAGACTTGTGGAAAAAAAGATTACAATATTTGTATACTTTCGATTGTATGATCGAAACATGAGTATCGAATTTCAACTGTTGTTTGCTTCGCGTGTCGAGGATAATAACATTATACACACACACACATATATATATATATTTAATAACGTTAAAAGTGAAATAGGGAAAATGATTCGCTTATATCATTGGCCTATATAACTATCCATGCAAATCAAATTAATTCTAATACGTACGTAGTCATATTCGCTATTGTTTTTCTTGAAAAAATATAAAAATTGTCATTTTAATAATCATACAAAATTATTTTAAAAAGAAATTGAACAATTTTATCGATATATTCGGTGGTGAAAGTTGAATTGGAAAGATCATATAGTTTTGTGCCAGAAATACGTATGTGCAAATTATTCGGTTAAAGTGTGCACGCTCGACGTCGATTTCGCAGTTGTTCCAAAATGAACGAATAATAAATGCATACGTAATGAAAGGATAAGCCAATAATAGTAGGATATTATTTTTTTACAAAAAGGGATTAAGAAGACAATTTTCAAGAGGATGGTCATAAAACGTGAGTTTCTATTGGTACAAAATACAACGAAATTGATATAACTTTCTACTTACTTGGAAGAATTACTTTAAATGATTAAATTCGTGTATATGTAATTCGTTGTTTTATACTTTTTTTTCAATACTTAAGAAAACAAAAATCATTGATAAAAAAGACACGATAATTTATATGTTCAATTTATATGTTTATAAATTATTAAAAATTATAATATAAATTAAAGATACGATTGGAAAAGATAATACGTGCAAACATTAGTCTAGATTAAAACTGGAGATCATCTCGAGTTGGTAAATTAATACCAGAAGAGAAGAAAAATTAACGTAGGAGGGAATTCCTACGCGTCATACGCGTAGGTCTTTTCCCGATATCATTGATAGTCAAGGAAATTAAAATTTCTTAAATTTATGGCTATTGAATTTCGTGGAACGAATTTATATATTCTTGCAATTTTTTTTTCAAAAAAAAGAAACGACAATAATACCTTATAAGCTATATAATACTTTAAGATTTAATTGCTCAGACATGATAAAATAATCAATTACCTAATTTTGAATCACTTCTTATACGATTTTTAAATTTAAAGATATTAATACGTTAATATATAATTCTTGTAATTTGCTGTTTCTTAATAATTTGATAAAAATTTAATCGTTAATTGCCATTCACGATCGATTATTTTAATTGATTGTAATTATTGATTGTCATATAAATTAAATTTGTTGACATGTGTTTCATTTCCTTGAAATTAGCAAGCACATTGTCTCAGTATCATGTAAGTATTTTGTGAATTATTGTGCTCTTATCTGCATATTCCATACAATGTAGCAATAATGACAAGTATTGCGTAAAAAAAAAAAAAAAAAAAAAAAAAAAAAAAAAAA